GGACTGCTTAATGCACCATATTAACACATGCTACTCAATAAAAGAGAAGTATGAACAAATAAATTAATGGAAAAGATTAAATTCCACAGATTCTTCTCACTTGCTTCTTGTTGAGTTCTTGACTGAACTTGGTACCCTTTTGATAATCATACTCAATGGCCTGTCTAAAAGAACTCTCCAGAAGAGGTAAAGAATCATTGTAAATCTTGAACCTCACCTGAAAAAATAACTTGAAAAACAGAATATGAGAAACAGCTTGAACCCATTTAACTAGGATGAACTATGGGCATGTGCTCCCAGTAGATTATGGTGGATGCTGTCAAACTACGGCGTGAAAGTACCCTAGTTAGATGGACGCCAAAAGTGAATGTCTCATTTTGGCAAATTGAAGCAACCACTAAAAATCATGGAGGGAAGGAAAACAACTTAATATCTTGTTGATTCATTCAATTTGACAATTTTACATGCCAAACAGAAGCAAGCAAGACAAACCAAGGCTTCTAAGAATGGTGTTGAAATGGCATGCAGCATACCCACCATTTCTTTCCTGAAAGGTATATCAATCATGTCTTTCTTGATATTATTTTAAAAAAAAACCCCAAGGAGCAGTGCTTAATGCACCTGAATACCTTCTACATCTGTATCTAAGCATGGATCTTCAATATCAACAATATAGTTGTGTGGCATATGCTTGTTTCTTCTTATGCTTAGATCTTCACCCAGCATGTACTAAATTTGAACTAATAGCATTAGAACACTTCCATGAGTGGGAAACCTACCACCAATAGCAGCTTCTTCCAAATTCAACAGTCTACCAGAGATTACCTCATGAACTCCATAGAGAAGCTTCATTCCAAAATCAAATAAGAATCTTCGTGCCAGGCTGATTTTTGCAAGAACATCCATTCTTCAAGCAGGAAGCCTGAAAACACAGTATAGATAACATTGTGGTTTTGTTCTTCCATTACACAAAAATAAAAACGGAACCTTCTTCCTGACTCTGCCCATCCATTTCCTTTTCCCGCATGACAGTACTACCGCAATAAGAAGCAATAGCTTGATCAAGATCAGAAAAATAGGAAAGAGCAGGGAGACTAGCAAGTGATGCTTGGCTATTTGAGTCCATATCAAGCAATTCTATTCTTCAGTTTTCAACTCCTCTTCATGGACAGCACTGTCAGAATTGAAAAAACCAATGAAACGCTTTTGACATTCCAATCACAATAGGAACAAGGAGAAAATTGTGAAATTTAAGAACATGAAAGGACTACCGTGATGAAGCACAGTAACCTCATACATTTCAAAAGCCATTTATGCATTGTGCATCTACATTTCCAATCTTCCATGAAAAATTTCTTCCCCTTTTTCTTTTACCGAACTCATCCAAAGACCACACCCAACTGAATATTTTATATTTCACTTTCCATCACTCACAAGTCACACCACAATATTATTCCAGGTATAACTTTTAAAGACTTTTCCCCATTTTAACACCCAATTCCAGTACATGCGTAAAATGAACAATCAACCCCACCATTTTAAATCGCACAGAAAAATTTCAACATTTTAAGACCCAATTTCAGTACATGCATGAACAATCAAACCTAAACTCAGTGAATTACTTTATACCTCCTGTCAAGAAAAGGGCTGAAAAATTCATGCGAAGCCAAACAACCAAGTAGGAAAGGATAAAGACAAACAAGTGACTGAGAATATAAAATCATAAAAAAAAAAACTTACAGAAAATTAGGATTGTCCCGGTCCCTTACGGGGCAAACGACGGCGCCGGGGCGGAGGACAGGGAAGCAGATAAGCACAGAAAAGGCGCTTTACGCCTGAAACTGCAACAGATTATTTTCTTCGCGCGGCGTGTAGATGTGGGACCGAATGGCGAAAAGCGAAAAACCCGACTGTTCGAATCGAGAATCGACGGTAACCGAACGGATCGCCTGTAATGATTAACGGGTCTCGAAGAGTAACCGACCCAGCACCGACGTGCTTTTCGATTCGGGCCCACATCTCATATCCAAAAAAAAAAAAACCCTGAAACCTAAAGTCCGATTTTTTTGGAGCAGAAGCTGATGAAAAAACTGACAGTGACAGCGCCTTGTATTAGTTAATTCAGTCGTCAACATTTTCTACTTGGGACCTACATTCTCGTACTCTTCCGTCTCGAACCGGAGAGACTACGCGTCCTGCGGGCGTGCTGCAGTTTACGACGTACTCTGCTTTATTCCGATTGTGGATATTGCTACTAAAATTTTAGTTTTTT